TAATTTATTTGACTAATTCGAAAGTCCACAAAAATTGGACTTTTAAATATTATGAAATAGAGCCAAATCACTCAGTAGCAGTAATCTAAATTTGGCATTTAAAAGCACATATACAAAAGCACACCTAGATTAAGTCAATAATCAGAATGCTCAATATACTAGTTAATTTCTTTGTGTCTCATGGTTCTGAACCCAGGGTCTTGTACATTCTAAGCAATTATAAGCAATTATTGGACTACAGTGCCCTTGTCCCAACTCATAATTTCTTTTTTAGTTTATTATATAATATTTCAGATAGTTAATAGAAACACACAGAGAATGATTTTAAGATTGTATCCTAAAATAATTGGATCCTATAAATATTAAAAAATATTTCTAATCCTTTTCTTTGGTGGCATGTCCCTTAGGTGACACTTTCTTCACAGTACATTTCATTAATAATTATTTTAATGATGATTCAGGCAGTAGAGATAGTTTATCTCCTTATTAATAAAACTTAAAACATATATGATTTAACAAAGAGCCATAAATAAATAGAATGGAACCAGAGAAATATAAAACTGGCCTTGTGTTATGGTATTGGAAATGTAAAGAAAAAGAAAAATGCATGGAAGATGAGCAATAAATATATATGAAATGATAATAGGAAAAATTTAAAGATCAAAACTATATCTGTAAATGTATAGATAATAAAAAGGGAGAAACATTACATAATATATGTTAAATGTTTATATTTCTAATGCCTACCTCTTAGCTCATTTCTTAAATTTTAAGAACATGAATGTATTTTTAAGTCAGAAAAAGAGAATCTTGAGAAAAAGAAAAGATTATATAAGAAATTTATTTCATGCTCACAGTTGGTGGTGGGATGCCTCATGAGATGAATTTTTGGATATATGGATGTCCTTATCAAAATAACATTATTGAAATATCAAGTCAACTATCAATTAGTAAATAAAATTCTTGATTCCACTAATTATGTATGTAAAAGTCAGTAATTTGATTGTTCTATACATTGGACAAATGATTTTAAATATAAAAATATGTTCAAGTTTATGTTTATCCCAGAAGATCAAAGTAAGAGTGACTATTTTCAGAAGTCATAGCTTTAAAAATTCAGTTTCATAAAAGTTTTTGAATGAACTTTTAAATATTCTTATAAAAACCTAAGTTACAACAATTTCTTCTAATAAGATCTCCTTCAGGGCTGATCTTTGTTTTAGGAACTCTTTCCCATCCATCTTTATATAAAACATTACTGCAGCGTAGTTACTTTCAAGAATAGCTGTTAAATATTCATTTAATTTGTCCAAAAAAATCCTGTGATTTAGTAAAACCTTCAAGGAAAACTTCTTTCTTGGTTGCTTTTGCAATTACAATAAAATAGTCAAAACAATTTAAAATGGACACCATAAGACCATATCTTCTATTTTGAAGATATTAACACAAACATTTACAATTTTCAACCTTTAATGCATAAATTCATTTGTAAATGCTGAACACATAAAAATAAAGAACTAAGTCAAATTGAAAATGAAATACTTTCCCGTGGACAATGAATGGCAGGGGTCTTTAGACAATATTCTAGACAGATAGACCTGAGTAAATCAAAGAACAGTAATAGTTCAAAAATGTTTTCTTTGAAAATTATATATGGATTCCTCATCAAGTGTCACATCCTTTAAGTTATAAAACTGTTGGATGAAGAATAAAGCATTCCTGTTTGTGCAAGACATCTCAATGATAACACTGAATCAAATGCACAACCATGTAATGGAATTCCATCCCACCAAACTGTGAATTTGTCCTGTCTCAACAATCACATTACCATGTATTCTTATGGTGAAGAAATAACCTACAGAATAAAATAACACAAGCTAAGGAATGCAATTATGTTCATTAGATGAAATGTCACAGAATATTTAAAAAATCAAAGACTTTCAATTTAGATAATGATTGTATTGATTACTAATATTTCACCACTATCTACAAGTCAAATGTGAATGGTAAAAGCACTAACCCTTTGACTGTTCTGCAGCTTTGTCAGTAAGGTGCATGTGCAGATTTGAGCAAGCTTTCTGCACATAGCCTAATTCATCACCCTTGTGTGCTGAGAGCATTGATGATCCCTATCATCCCCTAGAACCTCATTCTACCTCAAAGTACATGACTGACTAGATGCTCTTTTATATTTACTATTTTTAATCAATTTATCTAATTTTGATATAGAAATAAACCACATCACCCTCTTGTTCTACAATTCAATGCAGTTCATCTGAGATGTTATAAATGTTACTTAATGTGACATACAGTACTTTATAAAAATTTAGTGTCTTAAGAGACCATGGTGGATTTATTTCCTAGTGTCCTACAGGAAAATCTCACAAGAATAAAGAGTCCTCAGGGTAACTGAGATCCAAGAGCATCATTTCCTAAGGGACTGCCGGTATGAAACAGAAGTGCTTTTTTTTAAAAAAAAAACAGACCTTTATATGTACACTCCTCACACTTTTTCCTACTCTTAATATTACATCCAGAGTATTGTTAATAGATCGTTAAATTGCTACAATACTTGAATGCTTATCATGAACCTATGTTTTGAAATCACTGTTACATAATTCTGAGTTTATATCAATATGATATGAAAGATGAAAATGTAAAATGGGAAAAGATAAGTCTGTTTTAGTCACATTGACCTTAAGAAAAATGTGTTGCCCTACAAACACATGGTGTCCTGTGGTTTATTTGCATAATTCTATATCCTATGAAACAAACCCCAACAGTTTAAGGAGGTATTTCAAACTTATTTACAGATGTACCATTCATTCCTTCTTTGTGGACATGTATTATAGTTCAATTAATCACTTCTATAAGACAGCTAATGGCTTTTCCAGAATTTAATATTATGGAAATGAGTAAAATTATGGGAAAGTGTTTTATTTATTTATTTATTTATTTATTTATTTATTTATTTATTTAAAATTCAACAGGTTGCTTTATTGTAAAATAGTAACTTTCATATATTGGAATACTAGCCAAATTTAATACTGATATAAATATTGTATTATTGAATGAGTAAGTTTCTTAGGTCAAAATATGTGGTCAGGTGAATTTTCTGAATCTCATGAAAGACAGTTATCAAACCATATAAAACATTTAGAAACAATATACATCAATAACATACCACATTTTAAACTAAATAAACTATGAAAATAGCTCAATCTTTAAGATTTAGAACACATATTTTCAATAACTTAAAATACCTATCTACACTTCCCATCTCTTAATTCTCCTGGGAAGAACAACTAGTCACTAGATTTAAATAATCCAAATATTTATTCAAAGTAAGAGATTCTGATATTAAAGATAGTTGAGCTTATTGGAAACACAAAAATCATGAAAACTTATTAAGTACTTTAAATTATAACAAGTCCTTTCAAGCCCTAGATAATAAAGGCAGTTTTCAACTTTCTAGTAACACCTAAGGTTTATCTGCATAATGCAATTCATCAGCTGACCAATGATAAACAGCTAAAAGGGAATCTATTCACCTATTCAGTAATGTTTCATTGTAAAGGATATGTTGGCCAGTATTTAAAATGTATAAATTTAGTTATGCTAACATTTCGTGTTGTTGTGCTGGCTAGTTTTGTGTGTGCTTGACAAGCTAGAGCCATCAGGAAGGGGGAAACCTCAATGAGAAAACGCCTCCGTAAGATCCAGTTGTAGGGCATTTTCTCAATTAGTGATTGATGGGGAGGGCCCAGCCTGGTGTAGGTGGGGTCACCCCTAGGCTGGTGCTCCTGGGTTCTATAAGAAAGTAGGCTGAGCAAGCCAGGGGAGCAAGCCAGTAAACAGCACCCATCCATGCCTCTGTATCAGCTCCTGCCTCCAGGTTCCTGTTCTGTTCAGTTCCTGCCCTCACCACTTTTGATGATGAACTGTTCTATGGAACTGTGAATGAAATAAACCCTTTCCTCTCCAAGTTACTTTTGGTTCATGGTGTTTCATCATGGCAATAGTAAACTTAACTAAGACAATTGTTAATTTAGCAATAAATCCTCTTCATGAGGCCACTCATTAAACTGAAAAGAAAGATGATACATTCTGGCTTTTTTTTTTTTCAAAACTGGCAGCAATTTTTTTTTTGCTAGAACCAAAGGGGGAAAACATTCCACTTTATTTTAAGCTGTGAGATTCCCTGCTTCATGCCGACAGGTGTGACAGCCCCATTTAGACATGAGAAACCAGAAATAGGACACAATCTACAATATAGCCAGAATGTATCATCTTTCTTTTTTTTCATTTTTATTTACAAAGTTATTTTAATTCAATAATTTGATTGTTACCACTTGAGAAGTACATTTGCTTCCTAGTATTGGGTAGAAATGAGGTTTACGCAGCCTTCCTGGCCCTCACTTCACTCTAACAGAAAACAATATGGAAACTCAGCAGTAAACATTTGCTACTGCTTATATAAACTCAGCTCCAAGAGGAAAAAAATGTGAGAACATTTCTAAGTTCTGTTCGGGGCATTCCCACCTCCAGTACTCTACTCTAATAACAGGGTACACCAGCTGTTTTGTCATGGACCAATCAACTCGAAGATGAAGATAACAGTGTTCTCACTGATGCCATTCATAACAAGTTTTTACATAAGTTTTATATCCAAATGTGTGCATATAAAACATTTGCACAGATATTAGTGTTAAGAATTGAGAATGCACAGCAACATCCACAAATGGCCTGTTTGTATCCTGAAGCCCTACAAATGCTTTTGAGGCTGGAAGATAAAGCCTGGCTACCTATTTAAAAACATGTCATAATCGTTGTGTTAAGGAGAGCTCTAGAACTGACCATCTCATGAGAGTCAACCCAACTCCTGTGGCTTCACTACTTCTTAATCCTAATTAGGCTAAGGAGACCAATGAATACTACAGCCAGGAATTTACTAAATACTGGTGATTTCTACTAGTCAAACTCAGCTCTGCAAGCCAACAGGTGAAACAGGAGTCTTTCTGAACTCATTGTCCATTAGGAGTCAATTAAAGCCTTCATTTTCCCTGTAGACTTCAATATATGTGGGCCAAACAGGGCTGGCTCTGAGGTGGCCTCTGACTCTGGCTTTGGAATTTCTCTTTCAACTTCACCTTGACTACTGTGTTGATAGCGATAAGCAAACTTCTTTTTCAGAGCCTCTGCTATGAGGGCAGCAGGGTCAGTAGTATCTACTGGCCTAGGCTTGACATCTTTCTCTGACCTCTTGACTGACCTTAGCTTCACACTGTTCATATCTTTAAGGGTCTCAAACATATTTGGCATGTCAGGTGGCTTTAGGTGGCTCTTCACCAAAGTCTTTCCAGCATTGAGTCTTTGCTCTCTTTGCTCTTTAATCAGATCAACAGCAGACATACTTTGGTGGAGCGGTGGGGATGGGGTGGGGGAGAGGGAGGGGAGAGGAGGAGGAGAGGGTAGTGGTGCTACCGTGGAGGAATCTGAGTGACCTGCACTGAGACTCTGTTGCTCCTGTAGGGTCACAATCTTGGCAATCTGAGCTCGAAGGGCAGCAAGTTCATTCTCAAGTGCGGAGATCTTCTGCAAGGCCTCTTCCCTGGCCAGTGTTGTCTTTGGAGGATGCTCATCCTGAGACAAGTTTGGTAAGGAAACGTGCCTGCTTGGGGGCTTCTCAAAGCAAGGAAGGTCATCCTCGGGGGGAGACTTGGACCTGACCCCTGCCCTGAGTCTTGTTGAGCACTCTCCTTCTTCTGTGGTTACCCATCCAACATCAGCAAAAGATGCCACCACATCCTCTCCTGGGTGGGCAGGACTCCCTTCTGTGGTATGGCTGGTAAGCTGAAATTGAACTCTTGGACACTGAATCAGAGATAAGTTGGTACCAATTTTTCTTACGATACTTCGAGATGAACCATATGGTTTTCAAGACCAAAGTACCGACTGCATGCTGACCCCAACTTGCTGAATCACCATCCTCATCAGGCACTTAATCCAGCCCAGCATTTAAGTGTCCATGTCTTCCCAATCTGCAGTTCAAGTGCTTCAGGCATCCAGAACAGCACATGATCCATAGAGCAAGCTCCGTGGCGCCGCAGCCAGCACCTTCCCGGACGACTCCTTACTTATTTATTTTGAGACAGGGTTTCTCTGTGTAGTTTTAGTACCTGTCCTGGATCTCACTTTGTAGACTACACTGGCCTCGAACTCACAGAGAGCCACCTGGCTCTGCCTCCCGATTGCTGGGATTCTGGCACTGCCTGGCGGGAAATTGTTTTTATAAACATACATTTCATAGTGTTGAATGTTATAACTTTAGACCTTAGGAATAAGTTCCTTAAGCTGGCATTGCTCATTCAAAATAAACACTACATTTATTTGTTCACTATCTTAAACTTGTTTTCTACATGGATTTGTTCAGTTACCAAGAACAATGCATTATTTGCTTTTCTCAACATCACCATAAACAGAGTGGGCTTGTGTCATTTTAAAAAATGTATCTATTACAGTGACAACTGAGAATTCATGTTTAAAAGTTTCTTTAATGTTTGAGATTATAATATAGTTATATAATTGCCTCTTCCCTTCCCTCTGTATAATCCCTCCCATATATCTATTCTTGATCCTTTCGAATTCATGGCCTCTCTTTTCATTAATTGTTGTTACATACATATTATTATAGGCATATACATACATGTTTCTAAGTACAACCTCCTCGGTCTGTTTAATGTTACCTATATGTATGTTTTCAAGGCTGACCATTTGGTAGTGTATAAATAGTTGTTGTGTTCTTCCCTGGGGAAGATTTTTCCTCCTGCTTCCAGCATTCTTTGGTTGCCCATAGTCCTTTATCTGGGGTTGAGGCCTCTCGGGCATTCCCCAGTCCACAATAGCATATCTATTATTGTTGTCCTTGCTCAGCTCATATTTAAGCAGTCATGTTGGTGAGACATGGGTGTAGCTTTTGACATAACTAGGAGACAGTCTTATAGGATCATCTGGTTCTTAAAATCTTTCTGCCTATCTCTCCAACTATGTCCCCTAAGCCCTAGGTGAGGGAGTAGTTCTTTAGATGGATCCATTGAGACTGGACTCTATGACTCTGACCTTTGATTGGTTGTGGTTTTCTGTACAGTTCTAAATTTGTTGAAAATAGAAATTTCTTTAATGAACTGTGAGTACTATACTTAGTTTAAACCAGCTATGATGCCTATGAACTAGAGCAATATACAACACCACAAACGACCCTAAGAATGCAATAGAGGAATATATAACTTGAAAGTAATCAAAAACACTCAAATTGAACTTCAGACATGCTCAACAGGAAAGAAACCATGTCTGATACTGGGAAACTGGTCAACTCCTCATGGTTAGTGAAGTCATAGATCCTGGAGGAGAACCTGTAACCACCACTGCATTCTAAATATTTGTTATTTTACATTTCATTTCCCCAATTATGTGTGGCTTGTACACATTTAATAGAAAAAGCCTATTTTGTGTCTACATGTTTATAATTACTTCTTGTCTGTATTTCTTATCAGTCTTTCACTCACATAATTTTACACTTCCATATATGCCAGCAATGTTAACTTTCCATCTATAATTTATTGTTTTGAAAGTGACTCAGGATGCTGATCATAATGTTAATGCATGTGTGATATTTAAAAAAACATTTCCTTTTATGTGGTCAAAACTGTCTTTTGTTTTGTCTTCCCACTTGAATGTGAGTAGTTAGAAGTATTTTCCTTATCTTTAACCTTTTTTTTTTCTTTTTCTTTTTTTTTTTTTTTTTGGTTTTTCGAGACAGGGTTTCTCTGTGTAGCTTGCGCCTTTCCTGGAACTCATTCTCTAGCCCAGGCTGTCCTTGAACTCACAGAGATCTGGCTCTGCCTCTCGAGTGCTGGGATTAAAGACATGCACCAGAGGACGCTACAAGTGGGGAAGCATGTCCAGTTTCTCTAGGGCGCCCCAGCAATGGGCCACTTTTGCTCGAATGTAGTATCTCTTAGATGGCAAAATGCAGCCCCCCTGGCAAACTTGCAGCTATATATCCTCAAAAACCCTTCAAGGATTACATAAACCAGTGTACCATCAGCTGAGTGAATGTGGAGATCATGTTGTCATAAAAAACACAAGATGTACTGCCTTTTCTGGAAACAAATGGAAGCAAAAAGTGTACTCTTCACATGCCGGATACCCAGGTGGGTTTAGACAGGTAACAGCTGCAGAACTTCACCTGAAGGACCCAGTGGTGATTGTGAAATTAGCTACTTATGACATGCTGCCCCAAAACCTGAACAGAAGAACCATGATGCAAAGATTGCATCTTTTTCCAGGATATTCCAGAAGATATTCTCAAGAACTTAGTGGAAGAGCTTGCTCAGCCACGGAAAGTGCCTAAACGGCTGGATGAGTACACCCAAGAAGAAGTAGAGGCTTCCCTGAGAGTGTGGGTTCCACCTGAAGATTATCAGCTATGGGAAAGTGGAAGTGATCAAAAACAACAGCAAGAGACTGGATGCTCCCTGAGGAATCCCCATGATCCAGAACAGAGAGAAAACAGCACTTGAGCTCACCGTGGGAACACTCGAGGCAGGCCTCAGCAAGACATTGCAGTAGAACACACTACTTTACAGAATTATCTGTGGAGCCTGGTTTAAATACTGTAATGTTAATAAACCACTTACTTAGTTATCAAAAAAAAAAAAAAAAAAAAAAAGCCAGGCGGTGGCGCACGCCTTTAATCCTAGCACTCGGGAGGCAGAGCCAGGCGGATCTCTGTGAGTTCGAGGCCAGCCTGGACTACCAAGTGAGTCCCAGGAAAGGCGCAAAGCTACACAGAGAAACCCTGTCTCGAAAAAAAAAAAAGAAGAAGAAGACATGCACCAACACCCGTCCGTCATATTTAGCTATTAAAAATTTTCACTTGTGTTTTCTTTTTAAAAAAAGATATAGTTTTTTTTTTTTTGCAAGTATGTCTACACACAAGAGAAGAGGGCATCAGATCCCACGGGACTGTAGTTATAGATGCTTGTGAGCCACCATGAGGGTACTGGGAATTGAACTCAAGACCTCTGGAAGAGTTGCTAGTGCTCATAATTACTGAGCCATCATCCCTCCACCCCCATTTCCTTTTAATACTGTTAAGCTCCCACACACACTTTAGTTTCTCAACCTACAGTCAATTATAAAACAAGTAAAATAAGTACAATTTATCTCTTTCTAAAATTGCTTACTGTTTCTCTTAATAGTTTTAGTTTAAAATCCATTTTTAGTCCTACAATTTTCTAAAGTGTCATTATGTAGAATTCCATTTGTCCTAGACCCCATTTATAGAATTTTAGTTTTGTTTCCATTGGTTTGGCTATTCATGCTCCTTTAGCTTGCTGTGTTCACTATGGACATGATACCATCCCTGACAATTATAGGTCTTCTTTTCAGCCTTTCCTTAAATATCTTTCCAAATGTGGTAAGATCTCAAAAAGGTCAATTACAGGAAAGAAGCATGCTTGAAACCAAACTTGTACAAAAGAAAATTGCCTTTGTGCTGCAAACAATGGTTATTTGTCCCTTTATCATATAGAATATATGAAATATTTATTCAAACATTTACAAAATCATATGTAATTTATCTCAAAGAAGAGATAGTTCAGAAAAAAAATCAGAAGTCAAAGATCTAATTTCAGAGTCCATATTACCATAGTTCATAAGACTATACTAGGAAATTATATTTTATAACATTTAACATTTGGAGTGAAAAAACTATTTACATATATATATATATATATATATATATATATATATATGCCACCAAGAAGGAATAAGTACTCTAATTTTAATTTTAATTCACTTCATAAATTTCATATATGTATACAATGTATCTTGATCATAGCCATCCCTCATTCCTCCACAACTTCCCAAATCCTCTTTCACATTTTCTAACCAACTTCATGTTCTTCTTTTTCAAACATTTATTCATTTTTTTGTGTATGTTTCATTTTTTTCACTTTGAAAATAGTTTTTTTTCTGACCTAATATATTCTGAATATGGTTCCTCTCCTTTTATTCCTCCCAGTTCATCCCAAACTTCCCTTCCATCCATAGCAACCCTCTCTCCATTCTGTCTCTCATTAAAAAACAAACAGGCTTCCGAAGGATAGTAATAAAATAAAATTATAAAAAAGAAAAAAATTAACACATATGAAGAAGATAATTCTAACAGAAGGAAAATGCCCTGAGAAGAACCAAAAGAAACAGATATAATAGAGAGACCCACTAGTTACCACTTCAGGAACCTCACTTAAACACTAATTCAGAAGGCAAAATATATACACAAAGGACCTGTCTGATAAAAGGAGAAAAGAAAAACAAATAAAAATAAATAAATTTAAATTAAAAAATAAAGAAAGAACATGCCCTGACAGGCCGTTGTGAGACAAGGAAACTTCTAAGATGCCCTTCAGTTCTTTCTCTGTTGGCCATGTACTACTGGGCATGCAACCTACTATTTATGAATAGATTGTTTCCCCATTGAGACTCTCTTAGAGAAAATTAAGTAGTCATTTCCAAGTGATTACCAACTGGAGATTGCTTCTGGGTTCACCTCTTTTTTTTTTTTTCAGCTCTAGGATGCCAACTGGTAGAGAACCCTGTAGGTCCTGTACATGCTGCCCCAGTCTCTGTGAGTTCATATGTGCATCAGTCATGTTGACTGAGAGGTCATTCTTTTCATGGTATCCCTTACACTCTTTCTACATCTTCTTTGTCAAGTTTCCCTAGCCCATGATATATTTCTCATATATATATTTCTCAGCCCATGAGATTTGATGGAGACATCCTGTTTTGATTTGAGTATTCCAAGATCTCTCTCACACTTATTGCATAATGCCTGGCTGTGGGTCTCTATTTGTTACCATCTGCTGCAAGAGGAAGCTTCTCTGATGATAGCTGAATAAGGCATTCATCGACGAGTATAGCAGAATATCATCAGGATTCATTTTATTGCTATGTGCTTTTTGCCTCTTTTTGAAGAACAGTAGTGTTTTGTTTCTCCTAAGACTCTGGGATGCCTAATCTTAAGTTGTTGGTTACACAAGTAGTATCAGGT